ATATATGTAATATTTGAGCCAGCATGGTGAAATCAGGTGCTCGTCAAAATACAGAAATTGGAGAAACAGACATTTTTCTGGCAGTTTGGAAATTTTTATCGAATTTTTATTTTTCGGCTCAACCTATTTTATGTCTATATAAAAGCACATTTCCGTGTGAAGATAGATGGATATTTATTGCATTTGAAGCAAGGCAAATAAATCAGCTTTTAGATTATACCAAAAACCCCACATGCCCAAAAATTGATGAGCGTCTGATTCCACTTCGTCGTGACACATATTATGTGTATATTCTATTTACATTCAGTATAGCGTGTACATTGCAAATATGCACACAGAAAAACATGCACATTGGGAACAGACTTTCAGGTTTCAAATTTTTAAAATATATTCTTTGTATCTAAGACATGTACAAAATGAAATTCACACATAAAGAATCTTTTTTTCTCTTGTTTCCTATTAATTTTAAAAATTTGATTCAACAAAATTTGTCAATGGAATAGGACAGCTTTTAAGAAGCCTGAAGCGGAATAATAGCTGCTGCAGAAGTCCGCTCTGTAGTCACCGCTGACCCGCATGGTATTGGCAATAAGAGCATAAGTGGTTCCTAAAGTGCAGGCGTCCACGGATTATTGCTTGACCACTCGCATTGAGTAGATGCAGGAGGCAGGGGGAAGGAAATTTGTGGCATACTTGTAGACTGTGGTGGTGGTGCTGCTGCCTTTGACATGACAGTTATTGAAATCGGCATGGCAGTCATGATTCATCCACATGCTGTGAAGTTCTGGTTGGTTGTAGAAGCCAAAGGATTTATCCAGATCGCAACTTTCCTCGGACTGCCGATCTTCCTCCGTACTGAAAGAATTGGTTTCCATGTCCTGATAATTTTACTATGTACATGCGAGACTGTTTGTTTGACTGGCATAGAATTATCAAGATAATTTACAATTTTGAATATTTTAAATATTAAAAAAACCCAACAGAATTGTGACATGGTGTGTATTTGTCTATAATTTTTCCATGCCATTGGCTTTGTAAAGTAATGATGAGGTTGTGGGTTCAGGGGATTGAACCTCAACTCGGTCTGACATTGTGCATTGGGAAAGGCACTTTACTAGTAAAAGTTGCTAAACCATCGAAATTTCGACTAATTTCACCTTGATCCCTCACAAATCAAGATGTTCTCATTTGTTGATTATCATAATAAAAATTATATTGAGATGTTTTCAATTAAATGATGTACGTACTGTCGTTCTCTTTGAATTCTGCGCTGGTGTCTATAGTGTCGCTGTTGCACACTTCACTGTTGTATACAGGACACTTGAGTTCGATTCCCAAATTGTGACAAAATTCTTAAGGAGTACCTCAGTCTTTCTGCTTGGATGTTGTATCCCTCTTTCTCAGCCCGCGTTGGCCCTGACACAGGGTTAGAAGCACGCCTCGTAATTGATCTAAATTGTGTCGATGGGGGCACAAAAACACATACGTTTTATAATTCTGTTGTTGAATGGGATCATGTTGTATTATAATACAGCCAGGCCAAGGTGTGTAACCTGCCTGCTCCTTTTATTTTAAGTAGCTTTCACTATGCACTTGTTGGAAAATCAATATGGTGATACTGACCTGTGAATTTCTCTGAAAGTGATAAATTAATGTACTTCTTTGGATGTTTTTACTCATTTTGCCATCTCATCTGTGTGTTTTTTTTTCGTTTGTTTTTATTTTTTGTGCACATGACCTGGTTTGTGAACTGTAGCCAGAGTGATTGTCTTTTGTGAATATATTATGTGTGTTCTTTGTCAGATTATGAGTGTATATACAAATATTTACGAAAATTGGCCCCCACCAGGGCTGTGCCACCAAAGATAGTGTAGAAGAGAATCTTTGGTGCTACTAACTGAAGTTGTCTTTTGGCCTTTCCCAAAGCGGGGATATTAACATGTTTTTATGCACAGTAGAATTATAAATGGGCTGATTTATCAATGTCATGCTCCTACTGTGCCGGAACAACATAGAAAGAATTTTACTGATATATATGGGAGAATGGTGTGGATTTGGCCATCAAGTTTGAAAGTTAAAAGAAATAAATCTCACACCGAGCATATATTTTTAGGTGGAACAAATTGAAACTTCACAGGAAGGTTACCGAAGTGAGAACATTTAATTCTCCTAAAAACCAGCTTTCAAAAATCGGTTTTCAAATACCAGTTTACAAGATATTGTGGCATTTGAACTTAATAATGCGTGCAATGACTTGATATTGAGTGTTCACACTAGTAGGAAGCATTGGGCCGCCTACGGGTAGATTTTGGCCACTGTGTGGGGAGGATGGGGCACACCGGGAGGGGTTTGACGCGGGTAGATAAGCATCATAAGCTTGCCTCTGCTTGACCACTATACACTGTATGCCAATTCCCGTAACCTTTTAATTAGAGCCAGCCACTTTGGAAATCGCTCTACCAATCTGAAGCCAGAAAATATTTAATTAAATGGTCTTATAATTTTAAAAAATCGCTCAGCCAATACGAAACAAGGAAATGTTTAAACTTAAACGGTCTTTACAAAAAAACCCCCCCAACAATCCCTGAGTCAAGACAAAATCAGCAGATATTTTAAACAGGGTGAGCAAAAGCATTGATTGACCGAGTACTTATTTTATGCTTTTTTCATATTTAAAAAATTAATCGTGAAAAATTCTTCAAATAAAAATGTAAAAGCAAGTTACATGTTGTGTACTAAAAAGCCAGGCCCTCAAAGGAGTGGTTTTTTGTTTGTTTAATTAAAGTAAGAACAGTTGTGGTGTCGAAGTGGCTTCTATGCATTTTCCTCGTCTTCTTTCCTGTTTTCCCTCTTCACAGGGGCCAGCTTTTGAGTTGGGAATTTCTTTTTTTGTTGACTTTTTTCTGTCCTGATTTAGTGCCGATATTTGTACATGATGTATGTTGCGCAAACCTGTGCCAACACTGTAGAAACTGTTGTGAGGCCAGTTTTTGAGTTGCCTAGCAACATGATTGGGAATATTAATGAACCCTCTATACATGGGTGGAAGAAATAGAGCTCTCAGGGGATGACCTTCACAATCGAGAGTCGCTACTTCAGAATTACAAAGTTCTATCTGCTCAGTAGGCTACATAGTTGTGAGAAATTTGATTTAAAAAAATTTGAGTTTCAAAGCTTTTTCATATGCAGTTCTTCGAATATTGTGATAACGACTCCGCGAATATCCTTACAATTTTGATAAAGCTGATAGGACATTTGGTTTCTGACCTCATGTTCATAGTAACTCAAAACGGCCAAAAATGTCAGATAAAACAGCTAGGGTAGCGAAGTGTTGAGAAATGTGAGTGAAGGTGTTCATGTTTTATACATCTCTCCCGAAGTTTCTTCTATTTTTCCATCTCAAGTGCATTCAGTCTTGTGTGAGCTACTGTTCAATTTGTTTTGTCTGTCACATTTGAAAAGTGGGTGGTTGGCTGGCGCTCTGGTGTCGTTTGCTCCTTCTTTCCTATCAGCAGCTATCGTCCATATCTCTCCTCCTCCTTTTTTTCGTTTGTTACTCTCTTGTAACACCTCTAATCTTCGACACTCATATGACCTTTTTGTGTTGCAATTGCCGTGAAACTCTTAGAATGTTCTAAAAATAAACCGTCATATATATATCTGTATTGATTCCGTCTCAGCGGCTGGATTTATATGAACGTATGAAACATTTTTGTTTGTGAAAAGAGACATGAATTCCTTCAGCCGCTGTGAGAGATACTTTCTTCTATGAAATGTATACTATAAGGCGAAGAAGATCGAGTCCCATGGTAAAACAAACGAATGGGTTGTTATTGTTATTAATGTGCTAAAGTGTGGTTAATTATTGTGGCGGGTGGTTGGAAGGCGCCGCTGTTGTTAGGTCCTACATCTTTTTTACTCTCCCTTTGTTGTTTCTGTCTGTCTGTCTGTCTGTCTTACTTTTTCCCAGCACCAAATTTTAAAGATGTAATGACCATATTGTTGATGTGCTTCTCTTTGCTCAAACTAACGAACAAAGCAAATTGTGTTTTTAGTAGGGGCTAGAGAGCTTCATCAAATTGACAACATAGATGTGACGCTAATTCGGCATA